CTAATCAAAGGACTGAAACTTATTCGAGTGAGTCAGTAGATGTGTTATGCTAACATGTCATCAAAAAATAACATCACATAAGATAAGAATTTTGCTTACATGTCACCCTCATCACCTTTGACAGTTCAACTGACTAAGGTGAAAAAAATATCCTTGAGCTTCACAAGCCTCTTCACTCTAGATTGTGCCTTCAATGCCAACGAAGGCAACATGATCTTGCTAAAGTGAACCATAGTAGATCTCCTTACTTGTTGTGGCTCCACAGATACAGGTTCTGGAATAGGCTTAACATATTGAACAATGGCCAGGGGGATACATCTATTCGTATGTCACCCTCTACATTATCACCTTCAACGCTGGGTGACACTTCCATAGGAGAATTGGCTATAGGTATATCACCCTTTGTATCATAACTTTCAACACTAGGTGACACTTCTATATGGGGAACTAGTTCATGGTATATCACTTTTCATTTTATACATTTACTTGTCATTATCCTTCCCATTACCCTTGTGTTCACTGTCCCCTTCACTTATATCATTATCATCCCCATCACCCTCTTTGTCCTTCTCTTCATTCTCACTATCATCCTCCTTTTCACCCTTCCTGTCACCCTTCCCATGACTATTTCCATATTTACTGTCTCTTTCATCCTTCTCTTTTTTCTAAGTTGTGTCATCATTATTACACCTGTCCTCTTTATCATCTTCAGAATCTCTAATATTTGTAGGCACTGTCTCAACCTAAGCCTTTTCTCTTGAGTTACCATTCCTACCATTTTCCTGTCTTGGGATTTGCACCTTCAACAGCTCCTTATCCACCATTTTTATCAGCATTTTTTGCCCTTCCTCTATCTTTTTCATTAGGCACTTTCATAACTTTTTTAGCTCCTGCATGCAAAAGACATTTAGCAATTAAATATAAAGAATAACAACTTCACTTAAGCAAATGACAAGTTCACTATAGCGAATGACACTTCAATATACCAAATTACAATTTAAGTATGTCAAATGACAAGTTCATTGTAGCAAATGATAAGTTCACTATAAAAAATTATATATCATTATAGTGATTGACAACTTAAATATGTCAAATCACAACTTAAGTATGCTAAATGATAAGTTCACTATGGCAAATAATAACTTTATTTCTCCCTATGTCACAATTTAAGTATGACAACTGACAACCTAACTATAGAAAATGACAACTTCACTTTACCGAATCATAACTTAAGTATACCAAATCACAATTTCAGTATACCAAATGGTATATAGCAAATGACAAGTTGAATATAGCAAATCACAACATAAGTATATCAAATAACAACTTCGGTTTGCCAAGTTGCAAGTTAATTATGGCAAAGTTCTATCTCGCTATAGTGAATCACAACTTAAGTTTAGCAAACGAAAACTTAACTATGGCAAATAAGAAGTTCAGGTTAGTAAATAAAAAGTTCAGTTTACCAATTATATCACATACTGGGTCCAAAAACTTTACACTTATCCTTTCTTCTTTCCTAGTCACAACTTCATTGCCTTTTTTTGCATAGTAATTCTCCTAACACTCTTCCTTTCCTTACTGGGCAATTCTTTTATCTTCTGATCTGTCCAGTATTCAATTGCACTACAAGCCAGCCACATATATGCAATATTAATGTTATGCATATTGGTAATAAAATGCAAACACAATGACAAACAAAATAGTCATACCAAAAGCAAGTATATGCAGCTACTAACAATGCTGCTCTCCTACCCTTCATTACTCTATCTATACGCTTTCACCTAGTCTCTCATTTCTTTCCAGAGCTTCTTTATAATATAAGTAGCCTAATCATACTTTTCAAAGTCAACTATTGTATAAAGCATGACTCTAACCAATTTCTCACTCACTTTTGAACTTGATTTCATATATAGAAAAGTACCTAGTGTGTATAGCACAAATAAAAGCTCAAATCTATCATCCTCCTCCTTCAAAGCAATGTCTTTCAGTATTTTACTAAATAACACTCTCTGATATTCATTTTTTAGGTCCTTATACATAGCAGTACCCTCGAAAAGTTTAGTTGTCAAATTCTCCCCACCGTTACGGATTCTTAAAAGCTGTTCAACATCTTTTGCTCCTATTTCCTCTAATTTCCTCCTGATTGTAAATTGATGTGTTGGTAAGTCATATGATCTCAGCATGGTTAGAATGAGATCATAGGGTAGTCTCTTTAATCCAACCTTTAACTGTCTCCTAAAGCCTATCCTCTCAACCCTCTCCCTTAAGTCTTCATTATTATTCACAAAGTACAATAATTTTCTTAAACCCTTCAGGGACACTCGCGAATGGGTTTGGTTGGTAAATGTTTCTTTTTCTCCTTTTCTTCCTTTTGCGGCCTTATTTTCTTCGCCTCCTCGATGTATCTCATTTTCTCTTCAGTGGACAGAGCTTTCCATACATTTGACATAGCATCTATTTTTTCTTTGTCTTTCATGTTAGGGTCAGCTATTGTGGCCAAAAACTCATTTTTGAATAATAACTAACCATTATGTGTCTTTTTGGATCCAGAGGCTCCATCTGATGCTATCTTTCTTTTTTTGCAAAACATTCAACATACAATCATTTACAACCACATTTACTAATTAACTAACAGCTCTGTTAACAATTTATTTATTTTTAACCAGTAGCCTTCTTACATCACCACCATTAACTTCTTATTTCAAAACATCAACTTGTAATTTCCTATACACAAGTTGTCAATTTCTCACACTAAACTTGTTACTCTCAACTACTTTTCATGCTTGTTACTTCTAATCATTACTTGTCATTTACAATTATCAACTTGTTATTCCAGATTATAAATTCCTCCAATTGTCATAGTCAGCTTTGTTATTCCTACCTTGTTATTTTTAATTATAAGCTTATCATTTCCTATTGTTAACTTGTGAGACCTCATGGCAATCTTGTTATTTCCAACTACTCAATAATTTGTTATTCACTATATTAAACTTGTTATTTCCTATTAGCAACTTGTCAATTTCACACTTGTTACTTCATATTATAAACTTGCCAATCCCCCTACTCAACTTGTTATTCTCAACTTCACAATTGCAATTTCAACATACTTTATATTTTAATTACTGACCTTGTTAAATACCTAGTTTCATGTTGTCATTTTGAACCAAACAAATACTTTAACAAGTCTTCAATTCAATTAACACTTAACCAATTCAATTTGCATTTTATCCATTCCTATATCGTCATTTCCCAAACTAATCTTGTCATCTTTCTAACTGATCTTGTCATTCCCTTCCTAGCCAAACCCATTCGCACATGTTCTTCCACAAAAGAGCATGTATATTTCACACCCAACTATTTTTTACCAATCAATCACAACTTATTTGACAAAAAAACATATATACACTTTCGTGCCCTAAACACATTCCCTCTCTTTAGTCTATCATACATGCAGCAACCAACCCAAACAAGCCAAAGCATCAAACTTACTACCAGATTTTGTCATTGAATGCCACTATTAACTCTGATAACCACACATGACAGCCACCAAATGTGTGACGATGTCTCTACCTCCTCCCCTGCCTTTGACATTGCTAACAGATCACTACTCAATCGCTACTCCATTCGCCTCTCTCATAGCAAATACACACTTCTTTCACACAATACTTCTCTTCCCGATACTATTACTGCAAAATGGAAGCAACCTCCTACGCGAAAATGGACAGAGTGCAGAGAATGGAGAGAGTGGAGAGACTGGAGGGAAGTTATCGAAACGAGGGGAGAGAGAAGTAGGCGCGTAAATATCATTTTTTTTTTCAAATAGCTGAGGAGCATTTCGGACACCATCATTTCATATTTGTAATATAGGATCGGGTCTGGTGAGGCTATTTTCCAGATTGAGGAACCCATTTAGCAATTTTATATATTGGGGGTCTTTATTTGCTATTTTTCCAAATAAAAATAAAATTAAGAAAAATAATTCCTAAATTTTTTAAAACAATTTTAGCCAAAATTATGGCTTTAGTATGATAAAAGATAAATTAATAAATAAAAGGCATTTTACTATAAATTTTAAGAAGAATAAAAAAAACCTTTAAATTTTAAAATTTCAAATCAGTATTATTCATTATACTTTAATAACAATTGACAATATTTAAAAAATAAACGACAACATATTTTTATAATCACTTTTTATTTGGAATTTTAAAATTTTACAGATTTTTTTTAAAATTTTCCCTAAATGTTAATTAAAACTATCTTTTTAATATTTTGAATGGAGTTAATGGTTTGTATTTAAATGTATATTTTCAAAATATAATAGGAGTCCGTGTAATTAAAGACAAATTTAAAATACGCTAGAATATTTTACTTTTAAATCTAATATTATATAGAAATATATTTTAAAGAAATTATGTAGGGCTTACTTGCTTAGGATCAGAGATTAGATTTTTTTCTAGTTTTAGTCAGGAGAGAAAATGATGGGAAAAATTCTATAAAAAATAAATATTGAAATTAAAACTACAAATTTAAAATTGCTACAAAAATTTGTTGTTATTTGCATTTTAGGTATAATTATTTTTTTATGAGTATAATAACTAATACTGATTTAAAATTTTAAAATTTAACAGTTAATTTTTTTAAAGATTTTTTCAAAACTATTTTAACAAAAAAAATCAGGAGAGAAATCTAGAGAGAAGTGAGATTGAAATAAAGCGTTGACCTGGGGAAAAAAGTTGACCTGGGCGAATTCAGGTACTGGAAAAATAAAGTGTAAAATAAGACGAAACTAGACTGCACAAAATCCGTTGGCGCTCGACCGACGGGATCAAATCCTGCTATGAACCTGGAATTGGAAAAAACCGAGAGTTTGAAAAGGTAAGAAAGAAGACAAACCAATTGACTCAACACAAGCAATGGGCGAATTCAAATATTGTTGTGATCTTGGAAACAGCCCAGAGTTTAAAAAGGCAAGAAAGAAGACAAGCCAATTGACACAAACACAAGCAATGGGCGATCAAAGCGGTTTCTTCTTGTTCTTAAAAAACGCACAACGTTTCCCATTGAATCAGTGTATTCGTTTCTTTGATTTTGCTCCCTTTCCTTCTTCATTCTCTCTGTCTCTACACCGTCAAGTAATTCATTGTTCCTACAATGAAGTTCATCTTCGGGCTTCTCTCATTTGTCACTATCGGCTTGATCATCGGTAAGGGGTTGCTTGGTGTGACTCTTGCATGTGATTTTCCAGTTTTATTTCATGTTGTTTCCTTAGGAAAGGAGAAATAGTGCATTTTGTTTTATTTGTTTTGTCTATGCGTTACTAACAAGTTCATGATGATATCATGAATTCATGATAGCCTCTTAACATTCAGTTTCTTCATAATAAAATGTTCCTGCATTTTTGAGATCCACCTGAAAATTTGAACAAAACGGTGAAAGGGGTAACCTCAAGTCTGAATGCATCTAAGTTGATGAAACATCCTGAACTGGGGAATTTGTTCTTTTGGATACTTGTTTATATTGCCTTCGCGGAAAAGTTATCAGCTTTCTGGAAACAGAATGCAAAATCCCAACTTTTGTTTATCTGTGTTTTTCTTCCCTCCCCTCAACTGGAGAATGGTATCTTCTACTTTGAAGCTAATAACAGAAATAGAATGACGATACATGTCAAAAAAATATTGAATTACTGATTAGCAATTTCAAGAGACCTTGGCACGATGCGATCATATGAATGAATTATCTTCTGTTTTGGAATTACAGGTTCTGTCTCTCAATTGACTCTTTTACGACAATTGGAAGACTCCCATGGTAAGCACGTGCAATCATATTCTGTCACAGTGGGGCTTAAGAATTTTTGAAGATGTTGAAATTATTTTGTTAATACATATAGACTTTCCACTTTTACGTTATTGTTTTGGTGTTTGCGTTTATAACTATCGAAATGTTTGTCCTACCCTGTTGATTAAGTGGAACGGGGATACCAGTTTTACATACTTTTTCCTGATGTCTGATTTTTTAAAAATATTTTTGCAATGATTTTGATAATTCTTCTAGCAAATGATCATGTCTCGTATTTTAGTGGAATGATTTGTAGTATGAAACTGTAGATCATGTAATACGATGAACTGTCAGGGATAGATACAAGAGATGTAATGTCAGAATGATTTATGGTAGAGATTTTGTTTCAATAACCCAAGAAACAACCCAAACGAGAAAATGCTTCCTAGGATTTTTGCACTCTGTCATGCTAATGCCAAGCTGTCTTAGAAGTTGCATAGGATTATGATGATGAATAATTAGAGCAGTCCTTAAGGTGGGGCTGAACTTGTAGAAGTTGCTTGAGGGCTTTTTCAGCATGATCACGATGGAGGCTGAGGCCTCTGCTAAAGTTTAATGCTTGTGATAGTTAAGAGTCTTCAGCAATGAGGGGAGTTTAGAGAGTGGAAATCATACTTGGGAGGCCTTTGGGCCTTTTATGGGTGAATTTGGAGGTGGTATAATGGTAACTTCTAGCGGTAAGATAGTGTTACAGAGGCTCAGGGAACTTAATTCTGCTGCACACTCCAGCCCCTTGAAATTTTTATTAATATAAGAAGATAATGATGGTGATTGTACTAATTTATGATGTAATTGTAAATTGGGATTTAAAATTAGTTGTTTAGTGTCTGGGAGTATTTTATCATTATCCTCTTTATAGCCTAACTGTTTCATTTTAGGCACAGGCACAAAGTCTCCAAGATTTAGAAGATTGCACCAGAGGGATGGTTTCCTTCAACTGCCCAGAGGTCAGTGTCTTAGATGTATAAAAAATTTATTTGTTTTGGTAATATCTTGCTTTATTACTTACAGGAAATGTTGCTGTCAGTCAGGGTTTTAGACACTTAATTCTTTTTGGGCTGACCAAATAGATATTGATGCACAAAGAAAGAAGTAAATCCAGTGGTGCATAAGTAATCCTCACATAGCATTAATGAAATAGTGTAGACCCTGAAACATTAGCTCAGGAGAACTCTGCAATCTGTTTGTAAATCTTGGCCAAAAAATTTCCATTGTAAATCCATGACGGTAGCTCCCAAAAAATTGATTTTCTAAATCCCATTGAGTGACCAAGGAAATAATTTTTCCACAGAGGAAGACTTATGGGAACAAAAGACGCTGCTAACAGATTTTAATGTTTACAGAAGAAAAGAAAATGCAGAAAAGACAGAAATAAATTCCCCTAGCATTTGAGAGGCTTGGGACTCCCCCACAAAACAGCCAAATTCCTGCTTAACCCCTCGCTGACCTCTCACTTCACATAAACTCTGTACCAGTGGACTAGTTCTCCTACGCCTCGCAACCCATATGAATTAGTTGGTACTGTTATTTCCCTTTTGCACCCCTCTAGCCAGCTCATCCCAAATTATCCCAGTTTGATTCGCTCTTTTATCCTTCTTCTCTCATTCATCTTCAATACTACAGGTCAAATAAGTTCAGGACCCTCAAAGACTAACATTCAGTTCTAATTATGAAGATCACAAGGCTGCGAACACAGTAATCGCAAAAACAGATTTTATCCTTGTTATGCCCAAACCCTTGAACTTAGTGGCTGAGAAAAAGTCTAAGTTTTCTGAACACACTCACTGCACCATCAAATGACTTCATAATATTTCTGTCTGCCATGCGAGGAGGAGAAATAAGCTTCGTACTATAATGTTACTGTTACAATATGTGTAAATACTAAATGCTATAGAAGGTGTCACTATTAACTATACCCTGCCTTTTTTTCTTTTTTCCGGCCATTGCACTTGTTTGATATCATTTTTCCTGATCTGAATATATGTAGCTTGTATGTAGTCCTCTGGTTAGAACTCTTTCTTTTTATTTTTTATTTTTTAATTTATATTTTCTGATTTTCAGGTATTCCATTTTGGAAAAATGACAAGGAAGCAGAAATCTTACGTCTTGGATATGTATGTAGATTTCTCTTTTGTTCCCAGTGAACTTTCTTTGTTTGGATGTTATTCCATCTCCCTAAAAGAACTGTTAACCTCTGATAAAGTAAAAGGCCAGTGTGGGTGTTGCAAGTATTTGGTGTTTATTGGCTAGACACTGGGAAGAGAATTTTGTTTATATTCCTTAATTACCATTTGTCCATATATAGATAAGTTGTCATATTCAAAAAGGTAATTATATATTTTTCTTTTGGATAATTCAGATTGTTCTATGATCATCAATCTTGTATTCTCGTTGTCAACAATTTTAGTATGTCGAGGTTGTATATTATGATGTTTATTGCTTGAACATCTTCAAATAAAGTCCAAAACATTTTGTCATGATATCACTTTGTTATCAAAGTAGAATAAGTTATTTCTTTATCAATGGACATGAACTTTTAGGCTAGTGTATGGCTAAAATATGGTGATGCTGTTTGTGTTGATGTTTGGATTGAACGCACTTGAGATCCATTTTATTATCGTTTTGCATTTTAATATTATAATTTGCTGTGCTAAAATTGATCGATCATGTCTCTCCATTTATTTTAGTTTTTACTTAGTTTATAGACTCTCTCTCACGCTTGTTTGTTGGTTTAAATCATTTGTAATTGTTGTGTTGGTGGAGTTTATTTGCTTCATATATTGATTTTGATTATTCTCCTGTGCTCCTAATTCTGGTTGTAGATCAAACCTGAAGTTCTTAGCTGGTCTCCTCGAATCATTTTACTGCGTAACTTCCTAAGCATGGAGGTATGCCTTTTTGCTGGTTGCCAAATTTTCTGTATCAACATGGCGGATTCAGGCCCATCTTATAGAATAGACGATCAGTAGTATGGCCAAGCCTATGTTTTTGCTTTCCCCCCTTTACTGTCTTGGTGTGGGTAGCAGACTCAGTTAATTCTAAATCAGCTCTGGCAAATGGTGTCAAGCATCAGCTGTCACCATATGTCCATATTGCACATTCTATTCATCTGTATATACTTTAATTTCTCCTGACAAAGCATAATTTTAGTGGATCTTTTTCTGGTAGTTCTCACATGGTGCCACTTGCTGTGTACTGTGAAGTAGTGTAGGCTATTTTTGTTATTTTGTTGGGAAATCCCCATATAAGTTCTTCTAATGGTGTGAGACAAGAAAATATCATGACTACTAAAAACAATAACATTAATACTAATCATTTTTGACAAATTTAGCTTCTGAATAAAGTTGATGATTACAACTTTGCAGATGAAGGCCATTTACATATTAATTGAAAATTGAAGTTATATTTCTTTTACAGGAATGTGAGTATCTTAAGGCCATAGGGCACCCTCACCTTCGAAATTCACAAGTGGTAGATGGAGAAACAGGAAAGGTACATTGGTTTTATTTTGACTGGCTTTCATTATTTAGACATCCAAAATATGAACTTGGGTGCCTATTATTTTTTGTGGTTTTCTATGATTTATTCATTAGATGTGAGAAATGAAGGTACTTTACTTATTTTATGTCTAAACTATGAAGAAGTAGCGTGAGGCATGTTGGGTATGTATACTCGGGCGTTACTAAAGCGTGAAATGGGGAGGGGGGTGTTTGACCATCTGCATCATTGATGACATTAGCCTACACAATTATTGTAGATATGAATAAAACTAGGTCACACCAAATTTTCACAGTCCTCGCTTGTATGCACAGCTACCCGACGAGACAATGTTTTCTTATAAAGGGGGTAGCAGCTGAAATTTATCGTCGAATATTCTTGCATATATCTCCAGCTATAAACATACAAAATATCTGCAAACACCGGGAAACACCAAGGACCTTACCTTCCATACCTCTCAAGAATACCTGGATGATGACTTTTGAGGGAGTATGAGAGAGCATGAGTAAAGGGAGAGAAAATGAGGGAAAACATTATAAAGTTGTGATTATTCCCTTTCTAAAAGAAGTCTTTTCTAGCCTGTCAACTTCTCTATTGTCAGTGTCCTTCAAATAAGCATCAGAGTTTCTAGCCTGCCAAATAGCCTCTCATATGATTTTCTTTCATCTTTCGTAGAGTATCAAGAGCAATGTCAGGACAAGCTATGGTATGTTCCTAAGCTCAGAAGATAGAAAACACTCAATGGTGCAGGTATATTTGTTTAGATTGAAAATTGTTTTGGAGAGTGCCTTATGGTTTTATGATTTTTATCCTCATATTTACTATCATATTCATGGCCTTTTTCACTGGTAACGTGGCTTCTTCCCAAAAATATTAAAGTCATACTATTGTTAATGTTATTTGTTAAATTTCTGAAATGAGGCACAAACACAAAAGACCTCACTGCTTCCCCACATCCCCCTCAAAAGGGGGAAAAACAAATACTACTACACACCTACAAACTATGCATTTGTCATCTTGACGTGCCCTTCTTCTTGTGCAGCTTTCTTTAATTATTTGTGTTTTCATTATTATATAAAAAATTTTAGTTTCCTTTAAAATCATTGTTTTATGCTTGGGCTTAAGTTGCATCTTTTTATTGATGTGTCCAGTAGTGGAAAACCTTTTTTTTTTTTTTTTTGGTGATGATTAATTGAACACTTTGATAAAATATGTTCAACTGACACACCCAGGCAATTGAAAAGAGAATTTCAATCTATGCTCAAATACCAACTGAAAACGGAGAGCCTATTCAAATTTTGAGGTAGGATATCACTTTATTTCATCCATTATTTTTAAAACAAAAAAGAAATGAATTTCTTGGTACCAAGGCTAACATCTGGAGAATCACAGATATGACAAGAATCAGTATTACGCACCCCATCATGACTATTTTGCTGATACTGTGAGTTTTGTGCCCTCCTTACTGCCTTTGCCATTTTGTAATGATAAGAATTGCCTTGAACTGGCTATAATCACCTTTTCGTTCTTTTCTTCCACTACAACAGTACAACTTGAAAAACGGTGGGCAGCGAATAGCAACAGTGCTTATGTATCTTAGTGACAATGTTGAGGGCGGTGAAACATATTTCCCAAAGGTGAACTTCTTGCTTCCCGAAGTCTATCATTTAGATTATATTATGTCATATTATTAGATGATAGATATCAAGCAGATGTGTCGATTATCTCTAAAGTGTCACAAATATAGGTTCCTCTCTGTCTTATATAAGGAGTCATGTTTGATTTAAAATAAATGGTGGTGTGTGTTTATCAGTTTCTATTCTAAGTACTGATGCGTAGCTGACATGGACAGGTCCTTTTTCTTAAGTCATCTTTTGTGCTTCATAAACTCCAGAACTATTTAGTTTCAATGCGTTTAAGCATTGTACTAGTTTGTTTGCTTTAACATTTTCCTAGTGGTTTCTGGCTGACAAAGTCATCATCATAAATGTTCAGTTGACTGCTTAAATCCATGTTTATAAATAACATAAAATCTACATGAACCCCCTCTATTAATAAGCTATAAATAGTGTGGAGCCATAATCTAGTCTGTCTTAAATTTATTTGTACTCAAGGAATTCATGTGAATGTAGTTGTTAACATTTTTTTGGATATATATTTTTTTTATAAGGCTATGATATCCTATCCTGTAGTTACAAAAGAAAAAAATGTATGGCTCTTTTAATCCTGTCCTGCTCCTGAGTCTCAAAGAACCAAATATGGATTCAACAGTTGCATGTCTTTATAGTTCAAAGCAGTTATGTTAATCAAAGCAAATGTTATCATTATTATTGTTATTAGTATTTTATATATATTCTACCTTCTACTTGAAACATACAATGACATGGTAAGATGACAGCTGTAATATGCTGGTATTACCTAAAATTTTGGTCGGAATCTCTTGAAAGAGGATCCCCTGGCTGTTGTTAATATAATTAGTGTATTGCAGGGCGGTTCGGGTGAGTGTAACTGTGGTGGGAAAATTGTTAAAGGGCTCTCTGTGAAACCTACTAAGGGAAATGCAGTACTTTTCTGGAGTATGGTTAGTATCCACTTTTGCTTGTCATATAGGAGCAACTAGGCACATTTTTCACTGCAGCTATGATAAATGAGTTGCATTTTTCATGCTTATAAACAATGTGATTTACTATAGATTTTACTCCTCCTAGTCTTTTATAAAGGACCTCTCTCATGGTCCTTAATATCAAACCCTTTTATCCAAAGCGTTAATTTTCCACCCTTTTGTCCAAAGCATTAGTTTTCCCTACTCTATATGTCGTTTGCTTTGATATTCATTGATCAATTAAACCATCTCATAATTTATTAAATGGCATAATTGATGAACTTCATTGAGGATAATTTTGCAAGTTGAAATAGGCTGCTGAGGGAGTATTATATAAACTGATGGTACAGTGAAATAGGACTAGCTTAGGAAACATGAAAACTAATAGGGAGAATTACAATAAGGTTCTAAAAAAAAAATATTATAAAACGAATCCTAAAAATTGCCCTTTTCTATTCTAAAACTTATCATTACAAGCTGTTTGGGTTGTTATTAAGACTTTTTAGTAATTATTTTTCTTCTTTAGAATTTCACTGTAATTCTCGCAAACTAATATGGACGCGTAACAAAATATAGTAATAGTACACTATGTACATTTGCTTTTGTGTGTGTGTGTTTTTTTTTTTAAATTGTCCGTATGTGCTTTTTGAATGTAGAGAATTCAAAATTGATTGTAACAGTGGCATGGCTGATTCAGCCAAAGCATACCCCCATATTCTAGTGTTGCTGAATGTGTGATGATATAAGGCATCACATAATGTGACTGACAATCATTTTAAGTTCTATATGCTTTTTTTTTTTTTAGCTGAAGTTTTATATGCTAATTTTAAGTTGTACTATTCTCATTTTTTGCGATAGCTTAGGGAACTTAGTATTATGCATTGATGTTTTACCTAGCACAATTTAAGAGAAATGTATATTGTATCTCAATTTATGTAAATCTCATATATGAAAATCAGTAATTTTTTTTTAAAAATGTTTTGGTGGGTTATTTCAGGGATTGAATGGACAAGCAGATCCGAATGCTCTTCATGGAGCATGTGAGGTACTTTCTGGGAAAAAATGGGCCGCAGTGAAGTGGATGAGGCAGGGCCCTCACGTTTGACTTAAGTTCAACATCTCATACAAATATAATTAATTATACAAGACTCCTCTATTGATGAAACTTTTCCTTAATGTTGTGCATAGATTATACAACAGATTAATGATTGTGATTTATTCTTGACAAATACATAATGAAGTTAGATCACATGATAGTGTTAATTAGAAAAGAAAGAGAGACAGAAAGAATGAGCTTTAGTTGATTTTGATTTGTTAATACTATCTCTAATACTATAAATTAGATTTTATATTTAAGATCGAAGTTCCGTATTACTTGGGATATTGTTAAGCGTGTTGTCCAAAAGATTTCTTAAGATGCTTCATTCCAATTGTAAAAGTATATCCAAATTAATTTGCATTTTTAAAAACAATAAAAATTACCATAATTTAATTTTTTTGGTTATGTTGAATGGAAAGGTATAATGTTTAACTTTTTTTTTTTAACGTCAAAGCAGAAATTTTATTAATAAAGGCGGAATCAAAATACGAAAGTTCTAAGAAAGTGAAAAACCGAAAGCCATCCGCAGCCTGGAAATGAGGCCTGCAATACAAATATAGTTATCTAACCAACACCTCCTCGAACTCCCAGACAGCTTCCTCCTTCACCCAATGATTATGCTCTCCATTACAAAGGTCAGCTCACAAAATCTGATGACGGTGCTACACTTAATAATCCATTGGACCCCATCCCTCTTTGTGCACAAGCTGCCACAAAATCAGCAGCATTATTCCCTTTCCTTGAAACCAAAGCAATTTTAATGCAAGGCCTTCTTTCTAACACGCAGAGAATATCAGACACTAAGGGGTTTGTTTGGTATCATTTTAAAAATTTACAAAAGTGGGGTTAAAATTTTCTAATTAGTTTTTCTTCTTCTTTTATCTTATATTTTTATTTTATCAAAATTTTATAATCCCGCTTCTTTAATTTTTTAAAATGAACTCATTAAAATTTTTCCCCTCCTCCTTTTCCCTCCGTTTCCCTCATACCAATGGTATCACTTAAAACTTCGCTGCAACTAGCCTTATAGAGCTCCTCAAATTCTGTTTCTAATAAGACTGTTAGACCAGCAAAGTAATCCCTGAACTTACGTACTGCCACTATTATTGAGTTAGAGAGCTTAAAATATGCTCTTTTTTTTTGGCACTTTGCTAGATAAAATTACTCTCATATATTTGTTTTGTTTCGTATAGTGACAAAATTATTTAAAATAAGCTAAATCAAACACCTTCAATCTTTCTTTTGGCCCCAAAAAAAAAAAAAAAACCCTTCAATCTGAGATGAGATCTTGTTTACGATTTATAAGTGATTGTTTCAGTATATTTTTTTTGGTGAAAGTTATACTTCAGTATTTTGTTAGTCTTGAAGCACCTTTGCTTTCTTTATTCTTTTTCTTCTAAACTTTGTTATAACATTAATGCTAAGTAATGCACAAATTTATATGTTATATAAAATATAAAAATTCTAACAAGTCATAATATACTAGTTATATAGATGATGATAAATAACATTATCGTGCATTTTCAAACAATGTGCAATAAAACCCACGGTTTTCTAGCAAAATGCAAAAACAAAGAGCAAATATCTCCTTGTAGCAAAAAAAAAAAAAAAAAAAAAGAAGCAAATATCTCAATGAAAGTCTGAGTATATGGTTATAAACCGTCAAAGTTTATATAAACATACAATTATAATTTGTCATATTCTAAACACACAAAATAAATCTCCAAACTAGAATGAACAATTAAAGCACAAGAAATCACTCATTCACTCTCAAAATCTAACGTAATTATTAACCTTAGACATGGACTCAACTTGGGTATTGGTATTATTATTATTATTATTATTATTATTATTATTATTATTATTATTATGATTATTATTATAACTTGTACTGGTCGATCCTAACTGATCAACTGGAATCATCTTCATCATGGCTTGTGGATGGTTATTATGATGACGACGATCAAGTGCTTCTGCATTATTGTTCTGCGACTTCCTCTTCAACCTAGCACGCCGGTTCTGGAACCAAGTGTACACATTTGCCTCAGAAATCTGGCCATGGTGGCTCAGCACCGCCGTAATGTCCTTGATCTTCTGCTTGCTCGGATGAGCTCCGCCGCCTTCCTCGAATATACTCTCCAGAATCTCAAGCTGGTTCCGTGTCGGAGCCCATCGCCTTCTGCTACTCCATCTTTGGCCACCGTACAGCATCAAGGGCTCGCTAAGTTGTGGCGCGTTCTCCACTGTAACTTCTGAAAAAGACGACACTATGATTTTAAGTCGTACTGTTCATAAATTATAGTAGTAAATAATATTCCAATAGCTAACTTACACAACTAACAAAGGTGGTTAAAATTGGTTAACAGCAATAAATATGTAAAAATAATAATTTATTTTTGTAAAACACCCTTATTTATGGAGAGGGTGAGTAGAAGAGAGAATAAGTGGAAAAAATAGGTGAAAGAAAATGAATGAAAAACAAAAGAGAGAAATATATAATTAATTAGAAATAAAAAAGAAAAAAAAAAAGAAAAGCATCAAATGATCCAACAAATCTAAGATGATGTTTATTTGGGGGGGGGGGGACCAGACTGATGCTTATTTCAAGTCCTACTATTTATAACTTATAGATAATATAGAGATTGTTAAAGTAGTGTTGTATTACTTTCGGTCGTTAATATGAGATTTTGATAACTAATTTAAAAATATCAAAAAAATTAATTAAGTTGGTCATTTACCTAAACTATCCTTCTCAATTATGCGTATTGCATTATTAGAATTATCTCTTGGTAGGAACCTCTTATAATTAATAGGAATATTTTGGAGAAAGATGGAGATAAAATGAATTCAGGTTTTATATTTTGAACAAAGGTTAATCGCTAACTCAATCTTATATTAAGCACCGGAGAGGTAGTACATGATATATATATAGATATATAGATGTCAACATGCATCTCATTTTGAGAAAATGAAAAAGCTTTTCTTCAATCTGCTTTCTTAATTTCAATATGGAAACGACACTTGAGAATGCTAAAAGACGGGCAATGACATATAGAGACCTTAGTTTTGCAAAAATGACTGTAAAAGAAATATATCATATTATGGATTAAAAATACTCCTAACAAGTCGAAAAGTTTCTGAATTTTATTGTTTAAATAACATGGAAATATGAAAAATTAAATTTGATACAATTCATAGTTTTCTTTTCTTTTCTTTTTTGTTTGGGGTATTATTCTTCCTGTTCCTCTTACACGTTTCCTTATGTCGGTGAACTTTTCTGAACACATGGACGGGACAGGATGTGAATTTTTTTTTTCCCGTCTCATTCTTGCATGTTTTGTTTCGCACTTAAAATTGAAAAAATCAATATAAAAAATTATCAATATAGAATTTCAATATATATATGTTATAAATATTATAACTCAATCCTTAAGTCTTACGCAATAAAAGAGAAGCTCTTCCCATCCACACTGATATACACAGACTTAAACATATTATTCCTTCGATCCTAAATATAAGACCCTTATGTATATATAAGGGTCTTATATTTAGGACTGGAAGAGTACAAGTATATAAAAAATACTGAACCAATTACAAAATTGAAAAATTTTCTGTTCGTTTCAAAAATTTGTTATAAATCCTAGCGATAAATTTTGTGGTAGAATTCCATCACAAAAAATTGTGCAATACTCTTAAAATAATCCGTCACAAAATCAATTAATTTGATTATTAAGATACTAAAGATGAACAATGCCTACTTTCGTACTACTATATAAGCTTATCCATACATAATAAGAAAAAAAAATCTGATTACAAATAAAACAGAAGAAGAAATATATATGGGGAATGAGAAAGAGACCTGGAAGTGGAAGATCCTGAAGTTGGTGGAGGGTAAGCCTGCTGTACATATCAGCAAGGTTCTCACATATGAAGGCATATGCTGCTATTTGCACTCTAAGAGTCTCTATTTGTTCATCACTCATCACCTTATTTTCCATCTTCCTACGAACTTTCCTGATTTTCTATCTTTTCTCCCTCAGTTTTTTCTTCTTCGAAATTATATAATATATCCCTCACAAATATATAGTCGTAAATAAACAAGACTTTCCTATTTTGATTTGATAGTTTGGGGATTAAGTTTTGGGGAACAAATCCAAGATTGATTTTGTTTCTCTTTTTTCTGAGAATTAAAGATACCATATAATCTTTTTTATGATTGGGTTTTGGAAAGTGTTGAAAAGTCGTAATGTAATATAATTATCACCTTTTTTATATTAAAATAAAAGTTTGGTTGTTTCCATAATAGTAGCAGTAGTAGAATTTTGGTCATAGTTAAAAGCCCCGTGTTGGTCAAATAGAGACAGTGTTTTACGCTTTAAGTTGGTCCTAATAATGCAAAGATGAGGTGCGAAAGGAAATCCAAGACAAGGTTGCAATTTTGTGAAGAGTGGATTAATTTGGTAAATTCAATTTACAAAATATTAATTAATCAGTGATCACTATACGCTTATTTTAGTTTTAAGCAATTCTCCACACACAACCACCCACTAAATGTTTATAAAACTTTTGTCCAAAAGAAGTTTATTGATAAAACTCTCTGGAAGTTTCACCGCAAAGTTCATTCCTACAGTTTATGCACATAATTTTATCCGGATCACGAGAACGATGGTCGATGATGTATCTTTTTTCATTTATTTATTTAATACGTCAATTGAAGGAGAAAATATAAGATTTTAGATGCTTGATGTATTTATTAATAGAGGTAATATAAATTTTAATCCCTCAATTTTGTTTTTATTTTGATTTTGATCTCTCAAGTTTCATACTAAGCTTGTTTCCATCTAAAACATTGGTTTTTATAATCAAATAAAAATCTAAACCATTTTAAGTAGGGACTAGAAGTTATAATTTAAAATTTAAGAGACCAAAATAAAAATCAGAATAAAGAATATGGGCTGGCCCGTTTAAGCCTAAATAAATAAAAAAAACCCTAAACAAGTCAGCCTGTTTAAACCCTTGGCATTACAGGATCAGTTCTTTTAAGCCAGTTTTTCATTTGAAAGGGAGAATTCTAAACCTGGTCCTCACAATTTTCAGACCTAAATAGGACAGGCTTGGCCCCGTTTTTCCTCCTCTACTTGAGAGACCAAAAATTAACATTTGTAAAATTTCAAAAGTTGGAAAGGTTATTTATATACTACATCCGATCTTTAATATAAAAACTAGTTAACTAATTTGAGTAGATTAAGAAAATTAGTTAAGTTAGTTATTTGTAATAAATATATATTGTCTTATCTAAAATACCCTTGCTAATCAATTCTTATTTGATTAAATATTCAATATATGCAACTATTATAAGGACTACTTTGAAAAAAATAGATAAATATGAAAGATAAAGTGGATTAGAATCTTATATTTAAAATTAAATTAAAAGTCAAACTAACTCTTATATTAAGAACTGGTGGTAGTATATGATATAAAATTCAAGAAATTTTATATTATTTAGCCTTAAACATATATCAATGTTTTACGTACAACAATTAAATATGTCTAATGTTAATAATGTTAAATTTTCAATTATAATTGTTTGTTTTTTGTTGCATGAACTTTAGGTGAGTTGTTTGTCAAAACTCTAGATGAGTTCTTCGATAGGATATGTTTTCAAGATTACAAGAAACTTTAATTCCGTTTGTTATGAAACATTAAAAATGGGAATAAGAATTAATATTGAAATTGATAAAATCATTAAAAAAAGTATTTACTATAAGTAATTACTTGTTACATGGGATTAAGTAAATCTATTGAGGTGGGATCGGAGAATGCCACATCTTACTATGGTATTCTCCTATCCTACATATACGGATTTGTCTAATCCCATATAATAAAAAATCTCTCATGCTAAACACTGTTTTAATAAGTTTTCTTAATTCCAGTTCCAATTCTTATCCCTTATTTTTAATGCTTCGTACCAAATGGGATCTTACAGACATATTTACAGATACTCGATAAAAAATATTCTCATATATACCAACTGGACCAACTTATACTTTAATTTAATTTTGATGCAATTTGCTTTTATTTTTATAAAAAAGTCCTAGAAAATTTAAAAACAAAAATAAATATAAAATACTTTTTGACGGAAATTTTTTCAAAAAGAAAAAAAAAAGAAAAAAGAAACTATGACGTGTGGAAGTACAACTGTAAAAGTAGCGAAGAATATTCATCACAAAATCCGTTGGCGTTCGACGGGATTAAAAATGGCATCACCGAAAACAAGTCAAAGTTTGAAAGTGAAAGAAAGAAGAGAAATCACTCGACTCTTCACAAGCAATGGGCCATCAATGATGTTTCTTCGTGTTCTTAAGGGCCACCAGTGTATTTGTTTCTTTCACTTCTCTTTCATTCTTCATTTTCTCTCTGTCTCTTAACCGGCAAGTAGTTCATGGTTCCTATCACCATGAAGTTCATCTTTGGGCTTCTCTCATTTGCCACCGTCGGCTTGATCATCGGTAATGAAAAAAGGAATATCAAAATTATATATGCTCATTTGAATTTGGGTTGTTTGGTCATTGTTGTTACTTTTGCATGTAATTTTCAGGTTGAGCTTCATGTTGCATTTTTAGCAAACAAGAAATACTACATTTTGTTTTGTTTGTTTTGTGAAGGTGATCAAGAAGTCATGATAGCTTCCAAACATTCTGATTTATCTGCAGTATTGTTCACTGTAAGAGAGAGAAACAATGTATTGGAAGAAAGAAAAAGAAAAGACCAAAAAAGAGGGAAAAAGAAGTGGATCCCACTTGATTGGCTTTAGTATCTGAAATATTTTTCTAAATGTGTTTAGTATTTTGAAATATTTTTTGGTGCATCCAACGCCAATGCTGGATGTACCTTAAAAAAAATACGTTAGAGTGTTGGATGTATAAAAAATACTTCGAATGTACTGCACTTAAAAAAATACTTCAAAAATACCACAAAATACTTTGACGTCCATCTTGCACCGATAAAATATTTGGGACTTTGGATGTATCTTAACCCTTAATTTTTGCTGATTTTGTTCTCATCTACCAAAATATTTGAACAAAAGAATGAAAGTGAAGTCCCAATGCATCCAACAATATCAAACAGCCAGTACTGGAGAATCTTTTCTTTTAGAAACTTGTCTCTCTTACCTTCATGGAAAACTTATCAGCTTCCAGGAAACAAAATGAAAGTGCCAACATTTTTTTTCCCCCAAAGAAAAAGGGAAAATTATATCTTCCAATTTGATGTAGAGATGATAATAAAAAATCATGATATTGGCATGATGCAATCATATAAATGGATTGTCTTCTTTTCTTGAATGACAGGTTCTATCTCTCAATTGGCACTTTTACGACAACCGGAAGACTCACTTGGTAAAAAATTTGCGCTCGTACTATGTAGCAATGGGGCTTAAGAATTTTTGAAGATGTTGAAACTGCCCTGTTTTATTACATATATAGACTTTACACCGCCACATTGTTGTTATAACTGTTGAAATGTTTGTCCTACCCTGTTTGTTCAAGTGGAATTTTACTCACCTTTTCCTAGTGTCAGATTTTATTTTTTTCCAATTTTTTTGGGAATGATTTTGATTGTTCTTACGGAATGAGCATGTCTTAGGTTTCTACTGGAATGATTTGTTGTTTTAAGTTTGCTGGAGAGGCACTTATATTTAGTAACCGACAATGCCTCGATTAGGATTGCCTTTAATATGAGAATACTTATGCATAGCAAAAAAAAAAAAAGTGACTAAATAATGTATTTATCTTCCATGCAATAAGAAATAGGCTTCTTATTATATTATTACTGTTAGAATGTGTAAATACTATAAAAGACGTCCCCAAAAAAAAAATTGGTGGAGCCATTGTCCTAGTATTCATTTGAAGCCACTTTTCTTGATTTATATACGTAGCTTGTCTGCAGCCCCTTCATGATTAGAATCCTTTCTTTTCATTTTTTTTTTTTAAATTTGTATCTTTCAGGTATTCCATTTTGGAAAAATGACAAGGAAGCAGAAATCTTACGTCTCAGATATGTATGTAGATTTCTTTGTTTGTTCGTTTTTTTTCCCCAACTCTTAATACCTGAATCTATTGTTCTTGTTTGAAAGTTTTTTAGCATCTCTGAAAGAACTTCTAACCTCAGATAAAGTAAAAGGCCCGTCTAACTGTTGCAAGTATTTTTGAAGTTTTTTGTCTAGACACCAGTAAGAGAATTTTCTTCACATTCCTCAATTCTCGTTTGGACATATATTGATAGATTGTCATTTTCAAAGTGGTAATTATATAATTTATTTTGGATAATTCAAATTGTTCTAGAATCATCATCAACCATATGCTCTCTTTGTTAACAATTTAATATGTCAAAATTATATGTTATGATATTTGTTACTTTAATGTCTTGTGATTTTTTCTTTTTGGGGGTCAAATAAGGTCCAAAACACCATTTGGTTGTGATTGCCCCTTGTTATTAAAATATAACAAGTTATTTCTTTATCAATGTAAATGAACTTTTGTGTTAGTATATTATTAGTACATGATGATTCTTGTTGTGTTGATGTATAGATTGAATGCATTTGAGTTCCTTTTTATTATCTTTTTTATTTTTTATTTTAGCGTAGTAAATTGCTATGCTAAAATTAATTGAACTTGCCTCTCAGTTTATTCTAGTTTTTAAATACTCTCAATCTCAAATTTGTTTTAATGTTCAGGTCATTTCTCATTGTTGTGAGAGTAGAGTTGATTTGCATGCAAATACTTGATTTTGACTATGTTTCTGTGACCATAGATCAAACCTGAAGTTCTTAGCTGGTCTCCACGGATTATTTTACTACGTAACTTCCTAAGCATGGAGGTATGACATTTTATGCTTGCCCAATTCTATTAACATGGTGGATTTGGGATCATTTTATAAAACAGAGGACCAAGATTGTGGCCAAGTTTATATTAGTAGCATGGCT